CTTTCTCGTTTATATTTGTATTGGATTTACTATTACACTCGAATTTGCAGGAACCACTAGGCACAGCAACTTACCCGGTCATTGGCTGACTCAAACATTTCCATTTCGACTTTCCGAGCATAGTTGATTAGGTCACGGATTCTTTGGTCGTGTATCGCGTTTGGATCCGGTGACGGGAAAATCGCTTTTACCAACTTCCCAACAAGATGGTTGCGAAGATCACGAGTGACGTGCTGATGCCACTCCTAAAAGTCTAAGTATTCGACAGGTCAGGACCATTATGAATCGTTGCTTCAAGTAGAAATCTAATGACGGCTTTTCTGTTCTCACTTTTTACTAAATGACTGAATGTCGTAGGATCATAGTCATCAATTGGCACCTATTTTCCTATCAATCTTCTTACTCAGATTCACTTGTTTTGAGAGCAAGAGCCTGTCTTTACCTTTGCATGACTTGGTACATCAGGAGGTGGGAAGTTGATCGTTGAGAAGTCACCAGGTGCTCGAGCCATCATACCATGATGACCTCCAGAAGCTGCACCAACTGAACCAGGACCGGCATGCTTGTTGGGTGGATTTGGTGAGCGGAATGGATCGCTAAATCACAATGATAAGTGTAACCAACTCGTCGAAAAGCAGGTAATAAGCCATACTTCATGGGTGGATTATAGTCGTTCAACAATCCCGCAGCAGACATAGGGCCACTAGGTGGACCAGAAACGGTGCTACTTGGTGGTGCTGAGCTACCCGCAGCTGCAGCCGCTGCTGCTGCTCCGGCGTTAGATGCCGGTGCAGGCGAGCCAAACTGTGCCATTGGGTCAACGGATTGTGGACCTCCTGTTCCGACACCTCCGGCCGATCCTGGTGCTCCAACCGATCCAGGACCAAGAAGTTGGCTCATGTCTTGTAGTGCTAAACGAAACTCTTTTATCCACCAATTCACAATGGGGAACAAGCGGTAAAACCATATAAGGATGATAAACTCTGACATAGCTCACTTCCAGCGGCGGAAGGTTGATTCTGAATACTCTTCAAGGGTTTACATACGGGACAATCATCTCTATTACAATTCTTCCAATGGGCTATGATCTGCCGTGACGAAGCACAATGTGCATCTGCAATAAAGAATACAATATTTTTTTTTCAGTTCGAGACGAATAAAAGAAAGTAACTTACAGGTGCATTGTCGTCCATTGTGGCATATAGTCATGTGTTGTAGGACCTCCTTCATTGTACTGCAATGCGGCAGATTGCACGGTGTTCGTCCGTTTGCAGCTTCAGCGGGATTCTGAAATATTCGCACACTAGGAGGTTATTTACATTTACTTTACCAATTTTTTTGAGTACTGGAACAATCTGCGCTTGACAGCAGTCTTCAGAAGCTGACTCTTTTCTATGGTTACTCGAAGGGCCGCTGCAAGATCGAACATGTAACCAACGGTTACCTATGTTAGTCGTATAGATCTACTTCCTATTTTCTAGCGATTAATTTAACAATTAACGTTTGCATGAACCACCGGTCTTACTGGTTTGCCCACTTTAAAGACGCGCCCCGCCTACAAAAATGGTGAGATTTGCGACGCCAACGCCAAGGTGGAAAACAATACATAAATGAAGAAAGAATTAGAGAAAAGCCCATCCGTAATGCCCTACACAGAACCCTATACTGAACCGCTTTGTAAGTGCATAAGGCGAAGAGAAGGCGAAGAGAAGGCGCGACTAGACGAGTTTTCGCTTGATGGTATTAACTCGTTTTTCTTTACCACCTCGTTCTCACTAATAGAAATGGAGGGAGTTAGTAAGTGAACAACTGCACCACCGAGAAGCCTTTAAAAATGAATGTGGGCGTCGTTGTGGCTGGCCAAAGGGCGGGACAGTGCTTTCATCGCGAGCGAAACACGGTTTAATCCTGTATTTTTTAGGTGTGAAGCACATGCTTCACCTTCGCGAGTAGGACTACCATATTCAAAGAAGGGGTCAAAATGAAATCAATGCGGGTGGGCTTTCATACCTTTGATTCGAACAATTAAGGACTTAGCTTCGAACTTATGTTATGATCATAGTACTTCAAAATAATCCCAAAAGCTGACTGCAGCTCTGATATATGTGCAATAGCGTTGAAAGAACAGGATTTCACATCTCACTTGAAATATGATAAATACGCCAGCCCACTTTTGTCCAGGATAACTCAAGCTCTGGGACACATTTCAGAACGATGAATTTCAATGTCCAAGCCTCCTGTGAATCTGATTTTAATGGCTTTGATTTCAGAGGGCATAGATTTTGTTGAAATGAAAGTGAAGTTGACCATGCGACCGTACGCGCGGGGAAAGACCTCTTTCATCATTCCTTGCATTCCTTATGCGAAACTCAAAGATACGAGTTTACGAGCCACAAAGATGTGCACTCTGGGGACAAGAAGCAGAGGAAGTGGATCATATAACATAGAACGGAGAAGACCAGATAACTGCAGCATACCAAGTAACCTCCAATTTCATAGCGCCCCTTACGCCTTCTTATGGGAAGAATACTATCAGAATATTAGAATGAAGCTTGGGAGCCCATAAGATGGCTTCAAACTTCTCTGATCAATTGTCGCGACAGCCATTATTTTTCTAGCATTTTATCTATCAACATCGGATATGAAACATCCAATAGCGACAGAAGTCACTACCAATCGGAACAGTGAGCAGGTAATGACAGGACTAATTTCTCGAGACTGAACTGCACCACGAAACTCATAGCACTTGCTTGGATTAGAAATAATGATGCCATATGTAGACATCGCCCCTTTATGGCAGATGTCCACTCAGCACAAACATTCTCTATTGACAGGTGAATTTCGTGCCTACGTGACATTTCTCAACTACTTTCACTCTCCACGCGGAAGTTGATATGTCCTTAGAAAAACCCAAAAACAACAAGTCATGATACATTTGTAAAAGGAACTACAGCGGAGGGCCAAATATGATTTTTTTTTCTCACCCTTTGCCACCAAACAATTCCCAGCAATGTACACCTTTGGTTCTATGTCTGCAAAAGGATAAAGGATAAAGTCTTCGCCGTTGATCAATCCCTTTGTGGGATGCGGCACGCATTCTACTTCCATTCAGAATCGTAGTGGCTTATTGAATGCGATGTGGCCTACAATGACTTGCGGGGGCCAGCCGATGTACAAGTCAGTGTACTTATCCTCCCAGACGAATCTGGTACCAATTTACCGTCCCCGGGTGGTAGAAGGCTTGGTTGGCCTATGTCTGCACTGAAGCAATTTCGTTATCCATCACCATATGACAAGGATAACACCGTTTTCGTAACTTTACATTTTACCAGGCGATACCCTTAAGTTCATACTTTGCTAGCTTACGCCGCGCGTTCCACAGTGCGAAACACACAAGCTTAAATGGCATCTACAGCAAATGTTGTTCAGATTGCCAGACATAAACAGAGGTTTCACCCTTCAATTACTCTTAACATCCAAATGCAGAGACTTCGGGAAAGGTATGGCTCCGAGAATTGGACCTGGAGCGCAACACAAGAGGGATGGGGAAGCGCTCTCAATGCTAAAGACGTTGAATTTAACCATAAACTTACTCTTTCTCGTTGCTGGCACTTGTGGGCATGCAAAAGTAGAACAAGTTGTTGCTGGATGAGTTTCCGCTTCTCAGGATCTTGAGTGCCAGGGGTCAACGGTGTGCCTCCGGTCCGTTGAGGTGGTTGCGATACCGGCGCGCCTTGCATCGAATGTGGATGTTGCTGTTGACCAGAGGGTGGTCCACCGTTGGGCATCTGCATCTGCATACCCTAAACAACAAAAAAAAGTATTAGTCGCCGGCTTCCCAAGTTGAAGTACAGAAACCACTCTTCATACCTGAGGTGGCTGTGATGGAGCAGTAGCACCTGGAGGACGATTGCTCATTTGATGAGGACCATTCGATTGTGACGGATCCATCATCATTATCTGAAACAGCTAATGAGGATGTGTACGAAAAAGTGTTCTTTGATTAACATTCTTACCGGTGGCCCTTGGGGTGGACCAGGATGCCCAGGCATCATTCCAGGATAAGGCTGTCGGTTCATAAAGCCCTAAAAAATAAATGCTTGCATGCTCAACTAAGGTGCTATAAACTCGCAATAAAGTGAGCTCGAAGTATCCTGAAAAAAAGTCAAAATTCCCAATTTCCTACCTGAGGCGGTGGACCACCCATAAACTGCTCCGGCCTTTGACCTTGAAAAGGTGCATTCGGATTAAAAGGTTGCTCCATCATGCCGGGATGTCGCATCATACCAGGCATCATTTGAGGCATACCTGGAAAACATTGAGTGTGTATGAGATAGGGGAGAAAGTAGCTGCAATAAGGGCCTCTCGGATCACACGTTTATTACCTGGTCGGCCAGGAGGAGCCATTTGTGGCGGTCGTTGCATATGTGCTCCATTCATCATACCACCTCTAGGAATGGCTTGCCCTCGACCCTGTCCCGGATATGGTATCTAAATTCATCAATATGACACACAGTTGAACTCACGTGAAAAGAAAAACCATTGTCCTGAAGAAGGTAAAAAAGCAGCTCGAAAAGAAGTGGAGCTCACTTGATTAGGAGCACTCTGTGGTGCATACTGCCCAGGGTAACCACGCATTTGGCCCTGGGGTCCACCCGTCATCATCGGCTGACCATATTGCGTTTGCTGAGGCATTTGCATGCCGTCGTACATCACAGGAGGACCTTGCCCTAAAGTTCAACATCAACGACTAGCATGCGAAACTGACCATATAATGTAAACACACATTATCTGACAGTTTCTAACTATATACCTGGTGCTCGCATCGGGCCTCCAGGAGGACCACCTGGAGGACCTCCGGGAGAGGGTCCGGGGCCGCCCGCCCCTCGCCCTGCTCCTGCCATGTTGGCATTTGGAGGAGACATCATTGTGGCACCAGTCATCGGACTCCTGGAAAAAAATAGTGATAGAAAAACCCGTACAAATATGAAACTTATTTGGCAAACCAAAGGCAAACACAAGAATTTCAAATGTCCACCTAGTATTGAAACTGTTTGCAGTAGGTGCTCCAGAAAACGCAGGCCGTGGTGAATTATTCGCAGCAGGACCTTGCGTCTGGGTCATTAATAGCTCCTAAAGCACTAATTTTCAAGCAACGTAGCTTTCCAATGAGAATCAGGAAAGCCAAGCTTAAAAAGCAGAAGTGTTTTTTAGAAATAAAATTTGTACAGCACCTGTAAAACTGATTGTTGTTGACCGCCACTTTGTGACTGTTGTCCACCCGCTTGTCCTCCGCCGGCTTGGCCATACCCGGCCGGTGCCATAGGAGCAGTCATAGATGACTGCGATGTGGTCTAAGTTTGGAACTAATTAGAATGTGTAATCAAAACTGTTCCAATGAGGACTCAAACAAATTATGAACCGCAATTTCAAAAAAAGCACTTCAATTATTAGCGACTCACCGGTATATCACCTCCGATATGTGCCGACTGGGGTAATGGTTCTAACTTTTCAAGCTCACTAAGTCCATCCAATCCATCCCCAGATTCAAAATCTGAGCAAGGCACTAGAACATAACATTAAGGTGGCTTCGAAAAAGATGAAACCTAAGCAATTGAAACTGACCAGAATCGACTTTTAACTTCTTGCACGCTGGCTCGTCCATGGCGTCGAGTGAGCCGTGGATTGGCGGGCGTGCGCACGCTTCACAATCCGAGAGCTTTAGCAGCTACTCCGGTAATTTAACTAGTCAAAGTTTGTTGTTGTAGCAGAAGAATTCAAGACGAGACGCACAATGCTGGCATGCAGCTTGACCGTCCGCCTTTCGCTACCTTCTTGTCTTCTACGCGATGCGCTAAAGAGAAATTTCAGTGAATGCGTTTGCTTCCACGAAGAAAATCGCGAAACGAATGGATGAAAAAAAACTGGGTTATCAGATCATAACTAGACTGAAGAAAACTATGTCTGTGGATGGGTTATATCCGGTGGAAAAAAAAGCGAAGAAGCTTCAGATTTTCCTCTGAAGACGCTGTAACAAAAATTCACGGAAGAAACGAGCTCACTCCAAAAAACTTATTTATGGAAATATCGAAACGGGAAATCTCCAAAATTCCCAGAGCTAGCAAAAAAGTTATCACCCAGTACATGAGGAGTCGCAAGGTCTCCTACAGGCCTTGCCACTCATCATGTATGGCTTACACACCAAACTAAGAAAAGTGAAAAGTTCCAACACTCAAGACATTCATACGGAAGTGTACTAGGAATTCGAAAAAAAGGAATAAAATGCGAAAAGTCGAAAATGTCACCAATGCAAACAAAGAAACTATAACTGAAAAATGAAAAAGCGAATAAACTAATCCGATCTTGAAATAGTGTTCAGAAGCAGCTATGAAATTCTTATGTTCACAAGAATGATAAAGTACATATATGCATCGAACTTAAGAAACAATAACACGCGTGTTCGGCTTTCTCGGCACGCGCTCAGCATTATTTATAGAAAACAGGGTTAGAAATAGTTTTGTTGAAAAAAGGCTTGGAACCGAAACAATTTCAACTTGAAAACGCGTGCCAGTTCCAAAGATCAAAACTGACCAACATAGTGACCATCAAGTTGATCTGAACGCTAAGAAAAGCATGCCGAATCTTTTCTAGTACGCCGAGATGAACACCTAGACATCGCTCGAATGCATGATACGCAGACAGCTCCCAAGTAGAGACAGTGAGAGGTTCGTGGAGTGTGCAGACGCACCCATCGGCGAAACGCTGCGATGGTCATTGCAACGGAGTCAGCATGGCTGCCGAGCTCGTGCTATAGGAAGCACGACTCCGCCTCGGCGTAAACTACGGTAGATAGGACCAGCAATAGCGCGACGCAAGCCGCCTCGCTGTCGAGGCAACTGAGTGCCAGAGAGGAGGAATCATGTAGTAGGAATAAGTAGATCAAACGATATGATTCTATAGAACTAATGGCAATTACAGGAAGAAGTCGTTGTGGACATAAGACTTAAAGAAAAAACTCAATAGTAAGCGCATCATCAACTGAGTAATTACACTTGCAACGCGTACGGTAGAAGGCAGTAAAAATCACGTAGAGCTCAACTACAAAGTGCGGTAACGACTCCATTTATGCGAGCTCAAGGTGCTGCAATAACAACAAAGAAGGTAGGACTGTACCGTGCGATAATAATCCTCAAACTCACTGGAAACCTTTTCATGAACATCAACAAAAATCTGCAAAATAACCGATAAAAACGCCTTAGTAAGAACTGCACAACCCTTTCAAGGCTCTTCCTTAGCTGGACAAAGGAGAAAACTGTGAAAAACCTTGTACGCATACGTGAAAGTTCACGACGCCTCGCGGTGCACGAATGATCACGCGCGAACGTACGGCATGTCCCGAGAAAAAACGTTAACGTGACGAAAGTGATTTATGAACGCCGGCGGACCATCACAACCATGTTCATCGTTGTGACAACGATGCTCATGGTGAGAAACACCAGCACGGCCGGCTCAGCGTGTCCTCAAGATTGTAATAACGCGCCGGTGGGGGCGGGGCGAGCAGATGCCCGCACCATCAGCACGATGCGCGCTGTTAGCGCTCACGCTCACCAAAATGTGCCACAGCTGGTACTTCTACTGTTCCTGCTTATACCTGTTCATGTACTATCAATTAATAGGTCTGTTCAATGTACAACAGATCCGCCCCCATTCCAAACATTTTCTTCCACCGCTGCAATCGTTAGGGTGCACCAGAGTTACCTCAATGCTGACTTTTTTATATTACAGATTCCCCTCCATCTTTTATTCCTGTGGAGGCCTAATCATCGTGGAAGTCCAAGATGATGACCGCTATTTCAACTGTACTGTATTCTATACTGTGTGTACTGTATCCGATTCTATGCAACAATACCTCGAGCTGTCACAGACCGTAAGTTGTTCAAGTTGTCTTGCCTTTGTACGGAGTTCGTGGACTTAATCCCCATGGGAATCGAATCCCACAACAAACCCTTTACATTCGCGCGCGGGTAGAATGGCTTCGGCATGAGTCCTGGGTTCAGTTGGGTTTTTTTCAGAAGCACTATGAAAGAAGTATCATAAAGAACTTCGGATTTAACCCCACCTCCTCTATATAATTCATCAGAAGTCGCGACAAGATTTCAACTGACAAGGGCCAGTGCCAGATGTCTTAACTACTTTACCTAAGCGGCGTAAAGAAGTGGGAACAATGCACCCAATGCATCATCCAGAGTAATAATCACCGATCAGCGCGTATTTAGATCACAGCGATGTTCCTAGACATGGGGACTGAAGCCATCACTCCTTCACCGGCCTCTCAATATCACATTTCTGATAGTTTGGTTATTGATAGGTCTCGCCGACACCCCCCCCCGCCTCACCCCACCCCTCGTTCCGCTCAACGAACGTTGGGAGTCGTGTCAATAGGGAAGGCGGAGGGCGTATTAAGGGGTATTTCTATTCCGATATTTTCTGTATTAGCTCAATACAGCATAATATTCCAAAGGTCAGAACAAAGTGTGCTCATTTCAATAATCAGATCTCCCATTTCAACACTACTGTTTGATGGCTGCCTTATGAAAAAAAGGAAGTAAAGTATATTTTCAAGTAGCTCTCTAATCCAATAATCCGCTGACAAACAGCTGATTATAACACTAGGAACTTTGAATAATCATCGCAACGCAGTGTGTACCATGAAGCTATAGCCAGAAAGGATTCTCCCCGGTGCAGGTCGGTAATTTGCTCAACCGAAGGAAAGACCACCGCAAAACTGAACGTGTTTTTGAATTATTTTATGTAAAGTGTGCAGTTGAAAAAACGCGTTCCAAATTAGAAAACATTATGCTGAGGGTACTATTCCTCAGGTCCTTCTTTGAACTCCGAAAAGCAGGAAAGCATAGGATAAGGGGGAAAGCATTAGTGATAATTTCTTGCCGATCATTCCTTTTTTGGGTGCGGCACACATTCTAGTTCACTCAGAGTCCTAGTGGCTTAGTGAACGCGATGCGGGTCTACACAATGGCCTGCAGGGCTAGCTGATGTACAAGGCAGCACTCTTATACTCCCAGACGAACTTGGTGCCAATTAGTCCGCGAGGTGGGAGGCTTAGTTGACCTAGGCAAAAGCCGAGCCGGTCATGGATTTGACCTCCGGACCGTGAGCCTGCCGGTGTGGTAAGAGGGCCGCTTGCATACTACGAGGAAACAATCAAAACCAACAATCAGATCGCCACGTGACTGCTCATCAAAACAGGTGCTGCTATCGTAGACACGTGGACTTGCTAACTAATGCGCACTTTCATATAAACAACAAACAGCATGCATTTTTTTTCCACAAAATGCTGCTTAATTTCAGTCTTGTTTGGAAGAATACACAACAAAAGGAGCAAAAATCAAAGTACGGAGTGGAGTACTGCTGAAACTTGCTCTGAGGAAATCGCAGGACGTCAGAAGACTAGTGCAGGAGACGATTTACAAAGTAGGAAGTCTATCAGTGTAAGCGAGTTCAATAATTGCAAGGCAAAATTTAGTGGCGTTATAATGAGATGTCATTTGCTTCTTAAGTTGGATATAAGCTTTATAGAGGGACAACACCCCCAAGATACGAGTGCTGATGAATTACTGAACACCCCACCATTCTACTAATCTCAATACTTCATAATAACAAGTGAGCCAGCGGATCTTTTTTTGCATTGCTGTGAGGTCATAAGGTTTATCAATAAGTGCTGACACATTTGAGGCACATAATTCGTATCTAATAAAATTGGCGTTACAATAGGGGATATTCGAACAATGTTCATATATTACCACTGGTCCTCTCCCAACTTGGGGATAGGCAGGGGATGATCTTCGACTGGAACGTCTTTATGAACGTTTTGATATCAAGTTGTTACAGGATAGAATTTCTCAAAATGAAGGTAAAGTTTTTGAGGGTGTGTAATAGTCGACGAGTTCGAGACCTGGAGGGTATTACGGATAGGGAAGGGTCACCCAGTCGCTGCTGCCCTAAGCTCACCACTTCGTTTTTGTCATCTTCGCAATAAGTGGTGTAGCGACGTCATGCTGGAGGCACTATGCTATGGTTTGTCATCCGTGTGCGTTTCTGGGATGAATACTCCACTTGCTATGTGGATGTAATGGAATCACATGACGACTTCTGGCGCGTCCATTTTGGACCTGCGGGACAGTGTGAAGGACTTGCTAGGTACTACTTCTCATTCACTCATTATAGTACCGAGCCATTCGTGTGGGTGTTTGAGCGATGAGAGGGAGTGCGTTAAATGTCCTCTGCGACTTATCTTTGAGCATGGCGTGGTCAATACATTAACCCTTTTTTCATTTATACTTTGATGCTTCAACCTTAATACTTCAGTTGCATAAGTAGCATCAATACTGGCTGGCTAACAGTGTCGCAAGTAGCTTACGGATCTGAACCTGATTCATCGAACACGTATCCAACGTCGTCGAACCCCTGCACTGCTATTAGCTCCCGAAGTACATTCGCCTTTCTTATCTTAAAGCTCGCCTGAGCTTAGTACAGATGGGAGTAAATGGCAGGTATCCCACATTCTGGTTCGATACGGCACCAGTTGCGCAGATATGCATATATGATTTGTAGAACAGAACATTCCTTCCTCTAGTGTGTGGGCTT